GCTGAATGTGAATGTGCATATATTGTTAGACGCATCCATATCTCCTTCCCCATCTGGGAAGCTAGACATTTCAATTTCCGCAGGCAGAGGAGAAGGGTGACTGACACCAAGGCTGCTGGTGTATCTGCACCACTGATACAATTTTTTCGAGTGCAGTGAGCGTGCTAATCTAATATAAGGTTTTAAACCACTGCCTGCCTCTGACATTTGTGTGTGTTTGACAGTGAATGTGCAGACTGGTATAGAGAACAAAGAGCAGGGTAAATAAGCGCCCCCTGGTGGCATCACATGGAAATTACATCCCTCTTCTATTGTGCATTATATGTGTCAGTGTATTGAATAATTTAGCGTGTTTCCTCTCTGTATGTGCCTGTGTATTGACTGGTATTGTTATCGAGTTTTAATGGCAGTATTCATCCATGGATAGCAAGTCCTGTCCTATTTTACATTCTGATAAAAGGCTAACAAAATGCCTGCCCTCCTCCCCAGTGAGCTGTTTGATCGACAAATCTAGGTTACCCATGCCGTATAAAAATAGATTGAAGCCCACAACAAATGTTTAAGACTGACATGTTGTCTAAGGGAAACAGAAAGAGAACCGGACGAGCGTCTGTCCTCGGCTGTATTAAATGTTAAAGTATAATCAAATGGCCACAATGTGGAGAAAATATGCGTTTTAGTGGATAATAACCGGCCTTTTTGTGTTTTGTTTTGTTCTGATCAAAAACAAATAAAACCGCACTTGCAGTGTTCATGAAGAGGGGTGCGGTGAAGGATGGTGAAGGGAGGGGTAACCCATGGGGGCTGCATCTGCGTCACCATGGATACGAGAGAGGAGAGAGTGAATCTATTATGGGTGCGCAATGTGAAAGGAGCGATCTATCAGACGCTGCCGTTGTTTCTATGCACTGTTGAGCCAATCAGAGTGGCCATCCCAGTCAAGTGATTCTAGTTGACCAATCAGAGTTTCTTGCTACCTTCGCTGTTACCAAAGCTTGTTGTACATTCCGTGTCCTTTGATTAATAGTCAGTTGCCGCAAAGTAAACCATGAGTGTGATCCTGCTTTTCACAGGTTTGCTGGATTAACAATCAATTGTATATGAGTTGAATTAATGGTCACACATACACGTTTCTCTTTTGTCCTCTTCATCACCAATTGTATTACTACACATCACACCTTTCTTTCTCACACACCGCATGGAAATCCCACAAACACGTCCTGCAGTTAAACTCCTTACAGACACACTGTGATTCATGCTGTATAGATACCTTGATTACCGTGAACTATAAATTTGCTGTTAAAGGTTCAATAACTGACATTTTAATTTCATAGCTCCATTTTTATTATGGATATTTGGGTTTTTAAGAACAGAGTGCCTTTTACATTACTGACCACCTGTAAACTGACTATTCATGAATGTCCTCATGCTTAATGAAAACAGTGGCTACGTTGGTGCCTTAATAGGCCAACACTTCCAATACAGTGTAAAGAAGCAAAGTGGAGAGAAATGTTATGAGGCTCATGAATATGAGTTCAAATCTAAATTCCATAGCTCGCACGTTGGTAAATGACAGCTCATGACAACAACAAACAGTAAAATCAGTGGGGCTATAACCGCATTCTGTTTCTCCTGCATGTGGTTTTACAGTAGAGTAACTAATTATGTGAGATTTGGGCATTGTGCCATTACTTCCCGTATGAGTGAACACTGTGTGTGCCTCTAGTTTTATCTCAAGGGTATTAGCGTGTGTCTGTTTAAGCATCCTCCATATTGCTGTGCCCTGGTTTTCCTCTTGTTCCGGCTCACTTGTTCCCTCCTGTAACTTTGTGTGTAAATATGTATGCGCATACAAGTGCAAGTCTGTATTCTATAGATTGCAATGTGTGCACACCTGGGGATGTGGATCCTGCAAATACAAACATTAAAAAAAAAAACATTGTTTTATAAATATCAATTTTATATTTGATAGAGGTCATTGTCCCATTTAAAAGAAAGTAAACCCTCTCCACTCTGGTTAACTCTTTCTCTCGGTTCATCTCCTCTGCTTTATCTGCATATCACAGTCACTTACTGGTGCAATTGGGTGTGGTTCTAGTCATACTGTTATCAAAATTAACTGCTGTATGAGTCCTATCACAGAAAACCTCATATTTAAACTATGTATTAGGTCAGCACTCCAACACACAAAGATAAGGCAAGCATTTGTACCTCAGAGCAAAAGCATGCTCTTGTAGTGTATTGCTACTGAGAAGGGAAGACAAGTAAAAGGAGTAGGTTGCCCCCTTGTGCCGTGAGCTCTATATTCCACACAAAGACCGCACCATGACATCAGCATCTTGTCACATGAAGCAGGATGTGGTGTGTGGACTGTAAGAGTGGGGGTGGTCCCCAGAGCCCCGGCCCGGAGAGTGGGTTGGGCATGGTTGAACGCAAAGGTCAGGCCCACTGGGGAACTGTGGGGGTGGAAAAAGAAGCTAGCTCTGCTGCCAAAGTGAATCTGCCATAGTGGATATGCTGCTGCAGTGCTGCATTATCAATGCATGAGCAGCTTGGAGTGGATGCTTGGTTTGAGTGTGTTTATGTGTATGTCTGTTGCTTCTGTGACAATATGATCTGATTTGTTAAAATCAGTCAAATAAAAAGGGCTTTATCAACTGTAAGGGATTTAAATCGGGTCGGGAAACAAATCCAGCCGTACATTACATACAATCCCTTTCCTTTTGACAAATAAACCCATATGCTTCGACATTAGCGAGGGTGTGAGTGTTTCAGCACACATGCATCATGTCTGTGCCTGAGATGGCGTTACTATGGAGACAAGAGAGCTGTGCAGAAGGAGAGGAGGAGGGGGGAGAGACTCGCCTTGGAGCATGTTCGCACCCTTCCCCCCATCAATACTCACACACAGAAAAACTGCACAGTTCACACCCTGATAGCACACACTTACTCAGAAGCACCCACACAGTTGTGGGAGATCATGGTATTCTTAGTACACAGGAGATATATTTGGCAACTATATGTGGTGGTTGGCATTTAATAATGCATTGAACGCACCTAAAGAACGTCTGTTCACTGCTTCCACCAAAGCCACCCCCTCCCCTGCACTGCTCCCTCTGCCCCTTTGATCACACTGCTCATAGGTGCTGCCTATGTTTGTCCTTTTACCTTCATCACGTGATAAACAACAGAGAGAGAAGCAGGCAAACATGTATCCAAACACCAGATTTATTATGCACAGCTCTCTGTGTTTGAGGGTGTAAATATTGTGTGTTTTTCTAAACCCCCATTTATTCACTTTACATTATTCAAAGATTAAATTAACATATCCTCGGGAAATGTTACTTTCATTAATGGATTACAGAGTTTATTAATACAAACTGAAATACTGTGAGCGTACAATACTGTGTACCGTGAACACTGGGTGGTTTTAGTCAGCTGAAAATAAAAAAAACGTCAATTAAAGAAATCATGGATATAACAAACCTCTAATAATTGTCGTAGAATAATGGCATTACTGCCATGTTTTCAAAAATGATTAATTGTTTTAGTATAAGTGCATAAAAAGCTATTAATGGATTCATTTGCTCCCCATGCTTCCCAGAGGTGCTGTATGTGGCATTGGTGGAGGAGCTGGTGTGATCATCTTTTATTAACTGAATACGCAACCTGTATTTTTTTCCACATGGCCTTGTGGGCATGCAGTGAAAGGCCTTGCTGTTGCTCTCAGGTTGGTTACAGTATCTGATATCATTCTGTGCAATGTAGTGCAGTACTGGATGATAAATGTAGATACTATGAGGTCCGTTAGTTATGTCTATAAACAGTTTGGCCACCGAGGGATCAAGTGATTGATTTCACATTTAAATGACTTTTCCAAAATGTAACAAAACAAGGTCAAAGCAGTGTCAGCATTCCATGAAGCACAATCCCTGGTATAATAAAGACTGATTATCTTAATACTGCTGAGTAAACTGTAGCATCAGTAGTCCATGTGTGTCATGTGGATTTTTAGTAATACAATCCAGCCAGTGACCTACAAGCAAACTATGAATCATTGAATGTCATCATGATTAGTCTGATGGGCAAGGCGTCTTTGTCTATGTATAAGAAGCGAATGTGCAACATACCCAGAGTGTGCAGAGTGTACATGGAGTGTTCAGAACATCGAATGTTTAGTTGTCCTATATTAGTGAAAATGAGCAAATAGGTCATATTTTGTGAGCAACTACAATTAATGGATTTTGGGGTAAACGGATGACTGCGGCTCAGTACGTGACGGTTTTTAATATTTTCAAATCAAATCATGTTTCCTACAGAATAGAAATAGGACAGGAGTTTCTGAACCCTGGGCTTAATCCTGGGATTACAGACGAGGGAATGTTCATAAGCTCAGGACTACTGGAGATGTGAAGAACACTGAAATACAGCACAGCACGCGGATATGAAGGCAGCAGAACAAAAGGGTCCAATTAACAATATCCAGTACCCTCAGGGCTGACTAAAAAAAATAGGAAAACATGAGAAGTGAGTGATGTTGATGTATTACTTATTTCTACTAAAATATTTTGACAAGTCTTTCGGCTCTATAGCAGTTTCATGGAAGCAATTTTTACGATTACAATTTTCTTAATTTAATTTTTTTCTCAAATAGCCATTGTGTTATTCAGACAGAATAATGCCCAAATAAATAGTTTAATTATTTCTGGTGTATTTGTGTGTGTGCGTGTGCGTGTGCGTGTGTGCGTGTGTGCGTGTGTGTGTGTGTGTGTGTGTGTGTGTGCGTGTGCGTGCGAGCGTGTGAAGGACAGTTCTGAAACATTCAACGGGGATCAGATATTGGAAGAGGCAGAGCAGGATTCACTGGTGTGCTGTCCATGGTACTGAAATGTAATATTGTATATATTTTATTTAGGATATTAAGGAGAACCTCCACATATGTACAATGCCAGTCAAACGTTGGACACACTTTCTCATTGAAGTGAATGAGAAAATGGGCCCAACGTTTGAACGTGTAGTGTGACGTAATGGCTACTTAAATGGCTGCAACATTTGGCTTCCTTTTCATTGATCTCTGCATGTTGTCCATTTCACCACGTGGCGCCGCTGTTGATCCACCAGATACAGCTCGACTCTCTGAAAGACGTAGGCCACTCCTGTTTCCATGCAATTGGGCCATTTTTCAGCCTTTGTTAGTGAGGGATGACGGCGGAACGAACACATACTTTTCTAATCAAATCCAAAGCACAGAAGACAGAAAGACAGAAATATGTCTTCGCCCTGTAGATGGATATATTTTGGGATATGTATTGAGCTCTTTCTACTGGGGTTTTGCTTGGAAACGGTGTCTGGGCAGCTGTCCTATTCCGTCTCAGAGGAGGTGAACCCGGGGACTCCGATTGGAAATATCGCTAAGGACTTACACTTGAATGCGATGGACCTGGAGTCTCGTATGTTTCAAATTGTTACTGGATCAAAGAGGAAATTCTTCGAGGTAAATCTGAAGACTGGTGTTCTGTATGTCAGTGAGAGAATAGACAGAGAGGAGCTCTGCGCAGAGGAATTGAAATGTTCAGTTAGTGTGGAAGCCGTCATGAATAACCCATTAAAGCTTTACCGTATTGACGTGGACATTTTAGATGTCAATGACAATGCCCCATTATTTACAACCAAATTACAAAATCTGTACATCGCAGAGAGCACGCTACAAGGAGTTAAATTCGCATTATCTGAAGCAAGTGATTTAGATGTGGGGAGAAACGGAGTCAGTACTTACAAATTAAGCCAGAATACACATTTCTCGTTGGTTGTGCACAAAGCAGGTGACAGTGTGTCGGCTGAGTTAGTGATACAGAAAGCTCTAGATCGAGAAAAGCAGTCTGTGGTCACCATGACACTAATTGCTGTAGATGGAGGGAATCCTGCGAAATCAGGCACATCGCAGCTCGTTATAACCGTTTTAGACGTTAACGACAATATGCCGATATTCAGCGAAACGTTGTATAAAACGAAAATGACAGAGAACGCACCACTGGGCACAATAGTAATTGCAGTGAACGCCACCGACCTTGACGAGGGCCTCAACGGTGAGATCGTTTATTCACTGAGAAGCAAAGATCAAGACCACGTACTTGATATCTTCGAAATCGAAAGTCAAACGGGACTCATAAAGGTGAAAGGCAACATAGACTTTGAGGAGAAAAAAGCGTTTGAGATACGTGTAGAGGCCAGTGATAAAGGACAACCTCCGATGTCTGCTCATTGTAAAGTGCTGGTAGAAGTTGTGGACGTAAATGACAACGCACCTGAGATCACTGTGACGTCAATACACACTACAGTGAAAGAGGACGCTAATCTTGGCACCGTTGTTGCTCTCGTGTCACTCCTTGATAAGGATGGTGGGAAAAACGGTGAGGTAAAAATTCGAATTAAAAATGAAGTTCCCCTGAAACTCGAAACAAACTACAGAAATTATTATTCTTTGTTAGTTGATGGACCACTGGACAGAGAGAGTGTCTCTAACTACAACGTCACCATAGTCGCCACTGACAGCGGAACCCCGCCACTCTCCAGCACGAGGGTACTTTCTATACTAATTTCTGATGTAAACGATAATCCACCGCTTTTCCCAGAGCCCCTTATAAATGTATACCTAAAGGAGAACAGCCCAGTGGGAGAAATTATTAAAACAGTAGCTGCCAGTGATGCTGACGTAAACCAGAACAGCCAGGTGAGCTATACGTTTTTAAAAAGTAACAACAACCCGTCAACTATGGTAAACATCAACTCAGAAACTGGAGATATAGTCACCCTGCAGTCATTTGACCACGAGGAGTTAAAAACGTTTCAGTTTAAAGTCCAAGCCACAGACTCCGGTGTTCCTCCGCTCAGCAGCAACGTGACTGTGAACGTTTTAGTCCTGGATGAGAACGACAACAGTCCCACCATCCTCTTGCCCTATTCTGAGCACGGCTCCGTTAACAGTGAGAGCATCCCCTATTCTGCTGAAGCGGGATACTTTGTGGCAAAGATCAGGGCTGTAGACGCAGACTCTGGATACAACGCGCTGCTTTCTTATCACCTCTCTGAGCCCAAAGGAAACAATCTCTTCCGGATCGGAACCAGCACCGGAGAGATCAGGACTAAGAGGAGAATGAGTGACAATGACTTGAAAACTCACGCCTTGGTGGTGTTGGTGTCTGATAACGGAGAACCCTCCCTGTCAGCTACTGTGTCTATTGACGTGGTGGTGGTTGAAAGCACAGCTGACATCCAGACTCAGTTCAGACACGTTCCCCTAAAGGAGGACAGCTTCTCTGACTTAAACCTGTACCTGCTGATCGCCATTGTGTCGGTGTCGGTGATCTTTCTGCTGAGCCTCGTCAGTTTAATAGCTGTCAAATGCCACAGGACAGACGGCAGCTTCAGCAGGTACAGCGCCCCAATGATCACCACGCATCCGGACGGGAGCTGGTCTTACTCTAAATCTACTCAGCAGTATGACGTGTGTTTCAGCTCAGACACACTGAAAAGTGACGTAGTGGTTTTCCCCGCACAGTTTCCGCAAGTAGATGGTGAGCTGATCAGTATAAATGGAGGAGACACTTTTACACGGACTCAGACGTTACCCAACAAGGTAAGCGAATTTGAAAAATCAACATGTTTCATTGGATGTATATTTTATTCTCCAGTTCATCGCCTTAAATTATCTCCCTCCGTGTTGGCGTTTTCATTGTGAAGGAAATTACCATACTGTATTTGAATGTAATGGCAATGTTGAGATTTAGATTTAGTAAGCATGTGTGGCAAGTGTGGGGTCGGGGAAGACTGCCCCGATAGTTTGTATTTTCAAAACAAAAAATCTACGAATAAAGTAAATTACTAAATTTAAGCAAAGGACAACACAAGTTCGATATACTGAGCAGGCAGGAGACGTGTTTCCAAAATAAATATTCAAAGTTTATTTCAACCACAATAAAAACAATTGAAATCTATCAAAAAGGTTACCGTGTTTTCCAGATCTGGGGCCCAAGGTGAGTGAGGGGGAGGGGTGAAGTTATAAACCTAAAATGGGAGGACCACAATCCACTCTTTAACACACACACACACACACACACACACACACACACACACACACACACACACACACACACACACACACACACACACACACGGGTAAAGAAAAACGGGAGTGAATAAGACACTACACACGAGGGGACACCTTCACCAAAAAGGGTTCACCAGTGAGGCCCTCAGCACCTGGAATCACAAAAAGGGGAACAGTTAAATGAGAGACTAAAAATATATTCAAAAATCAAGAATTTATAGGTTCAAAAGACAAATCCAAAAAGAATATCGAATTATACAGTGTAAACTCAAGAAAACTAAATCAATTCAATGATCACAATAATTACAAAAATAATCCAGAAAAGTCTCCCTTGCCATCCACCTCCTGTTGATTCAGGAAACAAAATCAAAATAAGGAATATTAGGTGTTGGAATAGGGTGTTGGCATCAATCTCCATAAAACTGAAACGTCCTTAAAAAGAGGGTTATTTTAGCCCCATAAAATAAAAAGTTCGTTTTTACCCTATAAAAAGCAGGTTTGTTGTATCCCCGTTAAAAAGCAGCAGCAGTCCAAACACAGTACGGTTCGGGGTAGCCGGGTGCCGAGCCCTCAGCGTAACATCGCTCCGGCACCGAAAGGGAAGCTAGCCGACACACGCCATCCAACTTGCCAGCGCCTGCACACAAATGCACGTTATTAATGGTGCAGGGAGGGACACGTTGGCGTGCAATTAATTATGACATACCTGCGGCGGAGGAACACAATTTTGCGCCACACCAAAGAGTGCGGAGCGTCTGCAAAAACCTGCAGCCAAGCAACCCGGAAGCAGAAAGTACGCACCCGTCGCCAGAAAGAGAAAAAGAGAGAGCGCAGATCTACCGATCCCTTCTAATGTGGCAGACAATTGAAGGGGCAGGACCCCAAATGGGCAAGGGGCAGTCATCCTGCTTACACATATTTATCCTTTCAAGAGCATTCCCGTGTGACTGTTGTTGTCCATGGTGCTGCAATCAGCCGCACAGATTGTTACGTGCGATGAAACTCTTTTTTTGTATTTCTGGAGGGGATATTCAGATTTTGAAAATACCAAGATGAATTGATATCCAGAGATTTCACTTATTTAAAAAAAGTGGGTTTTTCTAGAACAAAATCTGTGATTAAATAATTGCGTGAATTATACTTGTTTTTCTATTTTTGGTGTGTTATTGTCAGCTGTGAGTATTCAGACGTATGGTATAGTTGAACTGTTTTTTTTCAGGATGGTAGTTAATTGAACCAACCACGAGGTGACATCGTGAACAGTCAGATTTAGATCTCCACATGTAGCGTCAAGCTCCTCCCAGAATCACAAGCTAATCTTTCTTCTCTGGGCTTTGTGACGAAGAGGCGCAGTGCAATAATGGACTGTGTATCCATCCTCTTGTCGGCTACCCCTCATACAACAAATAAACTGGATTACGGATCCTAGCTTTCGTACGGAATTATTATCGTAGAAACTGGATTTTGGACATTGGGATACATATGTAGTGTTCACGCTAGATCAAGATATGTCGATGTGGATAATGCGAAGCTCTTTCGGGATTTATATACTCGTTGTTCTTTTGGATTGTTGCTGTGACGCGGTGTCCGGGCAGCTCTCGTATTCTGTGTCAGAAGAGGTAAACCCAGGGACTTCTGTGGGAAATCTCGCAAAAGATCTAAACCTGAATGTCCACGATCTGGATACACGTATGTTTCGGATTGTTAGCGGATCGAAAAAAAAATATTTCGATGTTAATTTGAAAACTGGTGTTCTTTATGTGAGGGACCGCATCGACCGCGAGGGGCTTTGTGCGAAAGCTAAAATATGTTCTGTGAATGTTGAGGCAGTGGTTAACAATCCACTGAAGCTTTACCGTTTAGAGGTAAATATAGTTGATATAAATGATAACACGCCTTATTTCCCTGAAAAATTGCAGTCTATTGCTATTGCTGAAAGTACCGCTCCAGGAGGGACATTTGGATTCATAGGGGCGTCGGATCTCGACGTTGGTCAAAATAGCGTGAGTACATACCAATTAAGTCCAAATGACTATTTTTCTTTAGAGGTTCACAAAGGCGAAGAGAGTGTATCTGCGCAGCTTGTGCTTCAGAAAGCTTTAGACCGAGAAAAACAACACATTTTAAGACTAATAGTGACCGCTGTCGACGGTGGGCACCCACCCAGATCAGCAACCTCTCTAATCATTATAAATGTTTTAGATATATATCGACAACGCTCCGGGATCTAGCAGTATCTTATATAAGGGCCAAATTTCTGAGAACTCAGAAAAAGGACAAACTGTGATAGTTCTAAACGCAACAGACGCAGACCACGGTGCAAATGTA